CAGGAATGTAGGCATTTAGGGGAAATACCCTGATTGTTAACTGTTGGAAATTCTTTTTTAAAAAAAAAAAAATTGAACACCACGAGAAATAAATGTGCCCATTAAACAAATAGGTCATGCTGCAGATTTGGCCTTGAGATAGCTAGTGCCAGGCCTCTGTCCAATATACTGTCTCTAGATGAGGAATCAGTAAGTGCTGATCAGACACAGACAGGAACAAGGCTGATGTCACCATGCACACAATATGAGTGTTGCCCTCCACTGTGCAGAAAGAGCCCATGGAACTTTCAGATAGCACATGTAGTTAAAGGGGAAGGCAGTGACTCAGGAGCCTGGTTACTGTGGGTACCCAGAGGGCTGTGTAAATGGAGGGGGGSCCCTAGGGAAATCCTCCCAGAATAGGGAGGCAGAGAGGAAGGAGCAGGACTCTTGGCTGGAGGAAGGACAGTAGAGCACAGAGGTGAGAACTGTGGCACTATAGGAGGCCCAAGTGACTGTGTGGCTAGGAAGGGGCAGAGGAGCAGGAACTGAAGCTGTGGAGGAAGCTGGATCTCACCGTGGGGGCTCCCACGGCACGCTTAGGACTTAAAGGTGTCCCAATGGCTATGGGGGATGCACTGAGGGAAGTCAATTAGGGCTTCACATCTCTGTCTTACAGTTGTCGTGGATCCCATTGGCAGTCTGTGGTGGGTTAATTAGTGGTGAGTATGAGRCTGACATTTAAGGGAATAAGGGAAACCTTAAGTAAGTAGGGGAGCTTTTGATCCTCCCTCTTATCCAACCCCCTCACATTCACTCCTAGGTACTTGACAGTTACCTAAAGGCAGAGTTATTTGAATGCCTAGTTACCTGCATATCCCTTGGTGGTGTTCCTTTTCCTGGGGCTCTCATCCTGTGGGGTTTCCATCCTTTCTGGAAAGTCAATGTTAGGTGAGTACAACTCTAGTCCCTGACTCTCTGAGCTGTGCAGAATCACATCCCCAACCATAACAAAAGCAAATAGCACCATGGAGACTGCAGGTCCCCAAAGCAGCCCCCTGAGGGACACAAGTGCAGGGRGCCAGGGACCCTAACATTTAATACTGATGTATCTGCGCTACCTCCAGGAAGACCTCTTCCTTCCCTGTTCCAGGTACACTCTATCTGGGACTAGGGGGACACACAGGGAAGGGGGCACCCCTTTGAATTGGAAGGAACCAGTTGGCAGCACTGCAGTGACACCCACCAGTGGTGCCCATGAAGGGCCTCCCAGGGCAGAAATGCCTTAGGGAAGCATTTGAGGGCCTTGGGGCACTGGATCTTCCAACTTTTATAGACACATTTCACATATGTATATCTGTGTGTGTGTGTGTGTGTGTGTGTGTGTGTGTGTGTATACATATAATTGTTTTAATTTTTAAATTTTTTGGTGGTACATGGCATTGAATCCAGTACTTTGCAGATGGATTCTACCCTGAGCTACATCCCCAGTCATTTCTATTTTATTTTGAGGCAGGGTCTTGCTATGTTATCCAGACTGGCCTTGCAAGCCTCCTCCCTCAGCCTCCTGAGTAGCTGGGATTACAGGTGTGCACCACTGTGCCCAGTATATATTTTATAATTTTCACAACCACGCTAGTGAATTCCAGCTAAATCTCAGATTTGAATTTCAATCCTGATAAAGATGGACACCCAAAGACTCCCCTTATGCTGTGTTATGGGAACAGGTCTCTGTAGCTGACCTGAACATGGGCCCAAAGTCATTGCTCTGGCCTGCTCTTGAGGCTTTGCATGGCTCTTTCTGTGGAATGTCCTGATTTCACAAAGGTAGTAAATTCTCCCAAGTTGTCATGAATCTGCTCCTTTTATATTTTTACCTTATTCTGGCAGCTCGAGGAGACCACAGTTGCTTGGGGAAAGAGCTGTAGTCAGAGCCTGGAGAAGAGATCAGAAAAAGAAAGGAGGGGGTATCTTCACGAGGCTGTGAGGAGACACTGCTTCAACAGCTGGTTTTGAACTCTTCCCTTGGAGTGAAAGGGAGAAGAAGATGGGTCACATCTCTGAGTGGAGGACAGAGTGGTTTTAGCTGGATATTTTAGCCATTAAGGCAGKCACAGTGGTCAATAGTTATAATGAGGGGCCTCGTCCTTCTGGTCTTGGTTTTTCTATTAGCCAAATTCAGGGTTAACGATGGTTCTGAGCTCACAGGGCTACTTTGAGGATTAAATGAGACAATGCATGTAAAATGTTTAATCAGGGACCAGCAGACAGTAAGTGTTCAATGAATGGGGCTTAGAAAGATTAAACACCTACCCCAACCACACAGCTAGGGAAGGGGTGGGGTTGGGGATGCCAGCACTTCTGGATCAGGGTCTGGTGATTTCACCTGTTGCACAGGATAGAAATGATCAAAAGTGGGACAGGGCTAGGTTGTGGTTGTGGTTATGGGATGGCTTTGGAGAGAGAACCGTGATGTGGGGGAAAGGGGGGTACTTCATTAGACTGGACTTCAGGAGAAATCTCGGCCTGCATTGCCTTTTCCTAATAATCATCCSTCAGAGTGAGTGCAAAATTATATTTCTCAAGAGCCCACTGCCTAAAAGCCAGGTATCTGACAGGTGGTGTTTAATAAAACCCTGTGACCACAATTATAAATTTTAAGTGTTTTTTAGCTGGATTTTTTTTATTTGACTCTCTTGCCAAATTTTTTTTTCATGGTGGCATAGAACTATAATATAGTCTATGGCTGTAATAAAGAGTATTTCAGAAACATAAAAGCCATCCCCTAGATGGTATGAAGTTCAGAGATTTCTATATTAAAATCTGCCCCATTAAGAGGTTAATTAACATCCAGTTAAAATGACTTAGTAAACTTCATCTTCTAATTCAAGCAATTTTTCAATTATTTTAATATGTTGGATAGTTYATTTAACATTATTTAAGGAATAGATGGTTATTTTGGGTTATGTCACCAGCCATTGGGGAAAAAAATCCTCGGTGCTCCTCGGGTCTCTACCTCATGGCCTGTGGCCTCCCCACCTGCTTTTGTTCCCTGCCAGCAACTTCATTGCACTGCCCGTGTGACATTGTCACCATCAGAACCTCAGGTGAGACTCATCTGTCCTGTGGATCACCTGGCCTTGGTTCATGAAGACAAGGTAATTGCATATTGCAGGGGCTGGCCCATTAGAGTTCCTCAGCCAAATGTGGCTTGGCATATGTTTTTGTTTAGCCCACGAGGTAAGAATTCTTTCTGCATATTTAAACATTTGAAAAGAAATCAAAAGACTGTACTACATACTACCTGTGTGAGAAAATATTCTAAAATGAACACTTTATTTTATTAGAGACCAGCATAAGCAGATGAATATTTTCGATCAATTCTAATAATATGGAGSATTGGCTGTCAACTCCAAAGCTGTAAAGTTATTTTCTCCCACCCAAATCTATTTTTGTCATTGCTAGACCTATTTTTCRAAAGAACAAGCTCGATTGCTAGTATCATATTTTGAATCTTACTGATAAAAAAATCAGAGAGACTTTTTTTTTTCCTCATTAGGCTAGTGCTTACGTATCCTTAATATAGCCTCTTGACGTAACTATTTACAATCTGGGCCTCTATAGAAAATGTCTGCCAACCTCTGATGTGTAGTGGGGATTTGTAGAACAGTTGGAATGGTTCTGAGTTACCCTGGCAGGCAGTCGTCCCCAGTCATTCAGGCAAACACCAGTGAAGGTGTTGCTTGCTGCAAAGTATTCTGTAGTTGTTATTAAAATCTACCATCAGTTGACCTTAAATAAAGGAGATTATCCTTAATAATCTAGGTCTGCCTGATCCAACCGGTTGACAGATCTTAAGAGGACCGAGGTTCCTTGAAGAAGAAGGAGTCCATCTGTGGCGGCAGTTCCCACTCCTGTCAGTTTCCAGCCTGCCCTGCAGGCCCAGAAAGGGCAAAACCAAGGATATTGGTAGTTACGCCCTTGAGAAAACAGGCTTTGAAATCTGAATTCTCTAGATTTCATCCCTGCCTAGCCAGCTCCACAATGGCTTCGGCCAATTGCTTGTATAAATCTATTTATATCCACATGCCACTGGTTCTGGTCCTCTGCCGCAACCCTGACGACCACAACAGCTCTYTCTAAAGGCACCACCTAACTTTTGCTGTTAAAAACTGAAAAGTAAATCACTTTAAATAAAATTCATATTTTAAGGGAGCTGCCTGTGGAATGATATTTCCTCATCTCTCTTAATGACTCCAGAACAGAAAAGGGTGGTGAGAATCTTGAAGAAAGAGAGAGAATTTGACTGACTTAAATTTGCTCCTGTCACTGTGATGGCAGGAGCTGGGGTGTGGGGAAGGTCTCCCCTGGCCTGACTCTGGGGCTGCTCTGGACCCACTGTTGCCCCCCTTCACCCCTTCATGTTGGTGAATTCCGTGCTGGGTACTTTCAGAGGAGAGTTTCCTAAACTTTCTTGGGATTTTCCAGTGGGTCCCTGGTAAGATAAGGATAAAAACTCTGAAGGACTGCCCTCTAGCAGTCASTTCACTCTTCTGTGTCACCTGCTGTGAACATTGTCCTCTCTGATCCTCACAATGGTCCTATGAACGAGGCACTGTCCATTTTACAGAGGAGAAACCTCAACCTTAGATCATRAAGTCATTTGTTTTGGTTTGGATTTGAACCCAGATCTGACAGCAAAGTTCATGCTAAGTGTCTGTTCAGTCATTTGGTTCAGAAATCAGGGACCTCTCAGCCCAGGTGGTCCCCATGGCCCCGGGTGCCCACCTGGCCTCTGGCCACTCGCTTGGGGAAGAGATAAGTTGGGGGCGGACCCCCAAGTTTTGCAAGAGGCCTTCTAGCCACTAGCCTAGGGTGCCCCTGCTGGAGGACAGTAGGGAGGAGGGAGCGGGGAGCCCAGGGAGGGGAGGGCTGGGAGGGCGGGCYCTGAAAGAGAGTTTGAAAAGAGGAAGGAAGTGGGGCCCAGCAGAGCGCCTAGCCACTCCTGCTGGCTTCCCCACGGAGGACTCAAGGCCYGCAGGCAGGCACCCCGGCCCAGCCATGACCCCCTGGCGCAAAACTGACAAGGAGCGGCAGGGTGTGGGTAGGTGTGCAAGCTGGGCAATGGGCAGGCGGCTGGAGAGCCACACGTGGGAAGATGCTTATGGCACCTGGCAGCTTGGGTGAGGGCAGGGGCGCCCTTGGAGGCCCCAGGGCTCAGGGGCTCCCTTTGCCTGCTGGAAGGGGAGGCTGCGGGTATGAAGGGGAGGCTGGGGTCTGGGTAAAGGTGGGCACCTGCCCATGACTCTGGCTTCCAAAGGTGCCCTTTCTCCTTAGTGCTGCTGAGCTTCAGAGGTGGTGTCCAGCAGGCTGCTTGCTCCCTTGTGCCAGGCTCAGCCTTCTCCATCTGTTCACTTGCTGGGTGGAGGGAGCCCCGCTGTCCCCCAGGTCTGCCATAGCCCACCCAGGATGCCCTCTACCTCCCCTGTCCAAAGCACCTCCCTCTGCCCTTTGCTGGGCCTGTTCCTCCTGGGTCAGGTGACCCCTGATTTGGCAGAGCATCCAGGGGCCCCTGCACATTTGGGGAGTGGGGCGGGAGGGCTGGATCCTTCACTCAGCCCACGGCCTCTGGAGAAGGAAGCTCCTTTCAGGGGACCTGGGGATAACTCAGAAGCCAGCCCCTCCAATTTCAGCCATCTAAGCTCCCAGAGGCCTCAGCCTCAAGCTGAGGGCGGAAGTGGCAGCTGGGGGAAGGGAGGCAGCAGGTACTGGGGCTCCTTCTAAGTGTAATGGGTGATGCAATCCTCATACACTTGAGTGTGAACTTAAAAAGTGCCCTGGAGATTGCCACACAGGCCACTGGCAGACACGCGGCAGAGGTGACGCTTCAGCTGGTAAAGCCCTGGGTGCCCCAGCCCTGGGCAAGGAGAGGCAGGGGTTCCCCAGGCCACTGTTGGAGAAGCTCTCTGACAGCTCAAATATATCATCCACATACTGGGCACTAGGCACTGCAGGGCATAGATGAATAGTCCCCATCCAAAGAATACACAGGATCCTTAGCCTCCAGGGGTCTCAAGTTCTCGGTCTCTAAAATGGGAAATTTGAACTAGACTCAATCAAGACCCTTTTTTAACTTCAGGGCTTCTCTGGCCCTTCCAACTGGGGTATCAGGCTAACAATCTACCCTGGGAACCATGGAGATTGTTAACTAGGGCAGGCCATGTGGGTGGAGGGACCTCTGTGGTCCAGAAGAGACCAGTGTGGCTGGTCCAGGAAGAAGAAAGCACATCCAGGCAAGAAGAGCTGGTAGCATCTTCACCTTCTGGAAGCRTGCAGGGAAGGGAATAACAAAGCCACGGTTATACCCGGCTGAGGAACTGGGCTTTCCCCATTTAGGCCACCGAGGGCTCTGAGCAGGCAGGGCTTGAGCAGTTCTGTGCTTAAGCCAGCATGGAGGGAGGCTGGGGGGACAAAAGATAAGGGAGTCATGCCACAGGCCAGAGACAGTATTGGTATTCCAGGGTAATTAGAGGAGTTCATGGGGGAGACTGAGCATTGCAAAATGTGTTCCCACAGGGCCCAGGGGCTGCAGAAACCTGCTGCACAGGCTCATGCTAAGGTGTGCATCCTGGCTATGGTGCCAGCTGGCCTGAGCCTGGGTTCCAGCCTCCCCAGCCCTGTGACCTAAGCCTCACGCCTCTCCTTACCCACTCCAGGGCTTGGCTTCCTTGTCCATACAGTGGGGTTCATCACAGCATCTGCTTCCCAGGGCATCTGTCTCGTGTGCCTCAGGTGAAGACTCAGGTACAGAGCACCCTCCTAAATGTCATCAATATTTATTTTAGACTGTCTCCTTTGGGCCCAGTTGAAACTTGATGTCACAGAATGGGAGGGGGCTCAATGATGGAGTAGGGAGGATTCTCACCCTCCCTGACAGAAGCTATCCTGCCAGTGTGGCCTGGGTGGATTAACACTGTCAGGCCCCAGCCCCCACCACTTCTGGATCTGGTGGGAGGGCTGATATTCTCCACACCTACTTATGAAAACATGAGGGTCAGAAATCACCTGGTGGGCACCTGCCCATTGAAGAGATCTCCTCTCTCTGCAGAATCAGTGACTGCARTCTCCAACCCTGAGCCCTGGGGAAAGAAAAGGGAAAGAAAGGGAGGCTCAGGCTGTGATGGTATGGGGACAGGTCATCCAACATGAAAACCCAGCAAGTGGCCAAGAGAAAGGGAGCCAGGTTCTAGCTCTGACCCATCTCTCTTTGCAGATGGATCTCTATTTTACCTTTCTCACTTTGGTCCAGACATTGATACTTTCCTGTTTCAAACCATTGTGTTATGAAGATCACTTGAGAATCTATGTATATGGGGGTTTGGAAGATAAAGAGCTGGAGCTCTCTCTGTGTGTGGTGGGTGCTTAGACAAACTCTCTCTGCCATCTCTTCAGAACAGGTGACATTTAACTTTCCCTCCCGTGGTCTCATGGACAGGGCTGCTGGTGTCTGCTTGCGCTCTCCACTGGGGCTTTTGAGGAGGATGCTTCTTGGTTATCTTGCATGATCTGGTGGGCAGCCAGGAGTATCCTTAGGTCACTCCCCAGCCAGGGTTTCTTCTTTCTGCTGCAGCCGTGACATGTGATCCATCAGAGCTGTGAGAAGATCTGGGGTACAAGTGTGATAGAGGCAGTGTGAGTTCAGAGGACAAAAGGGTGCGTTTTTGCATGAGGAGTGGTGTGTGGGCTCAGAAGCTCATGTGTGAAGTGGGGATTGCGATCTGATCATGACCRGTTGCTCTGTCTCTGAATTGGGGAGTGATGGCGGTCCCACAGGCTGTTGTGAGGATGGAATGAGGTAAAGCCTGGGGCACTGAGGAGTGTGCCTGGCTCCACTAGTAAGTGACTGAACCAGGCAAGTCAGTGATGCACCCAGCACCGACTTTAGGACATCAATTCCCATAGGAATGTTGCATGCCAAGTTTGCAAAGCTCATTCTGATGCAGCGCTGTTATGGAAGAAGACACGGGTCCCCAAGTTCACATGACAGGGAAGTACTGGAGCTGACCCTTAAATGCCATGACCTGCATGCAGACACCTGGCCCTCTGGAGAGGCCAGGAGGGCATCTAGGAGGGGACATGTTGAGCAAAGGCAGAAAGCTGGAATGCATGTAAGATGTGGGTCAAACAAGAAGTGGTCTAACTTGGCTTTAGTGGGTGTTTGGAGAGGATGTGGCAAAAGCAGATTTTGGCCAGATTTTGAGGGGCTGTGAGAGCCACGCTGAGGCTAGACTTCCTGTGAGCACTGAGGTCCAAGCAAGAGTATCACTGGTAAGAAGTTAACATAGCTAACTAGGAGAGGGACAAGTACTGGACACCAACTAGAAGGGAAGAGYAGAACACTTTCACTTGTCTACTGACTGCCTGGGTGGCTGACCTAGCAGAGTTCACCTAGAATCAGCACTGTCCTTGTGGCACAGGCCTGCAGWCCCAGGGACCTAGGAGGCTGAGGCAGGAGGGTCAAAAATTTGAGGACAGCCTCAGCAACTTAGCGAGGCCATGTTTCAGAATAAAAAGTAAAAAGGGCTGACGATGTACCCCAGTGGTAGAGTGCCCCTGGGTTCAATTCCCCGTTCCCACCACCACCACCAAAAAAAAAAAAGCCTTTCAGCCTTCACCATCTTAACACCCCCAGCCTGAGACTCTGGTCAGTGATGAGAACTTTCTCCTTGCAGGACGGAGGGAAGGGCAGCCAACTTTCTGATTTATTCATGGTCATTGAACTTCCCTGGGAGAGGGCATTATGGCTGTCCCCGTTTCCTTTTTCTTAGGAGTTTCTTCTTTTACGGGAAGATCCAGGAGGACTTCTTTGTGCACTGTTGATTCTCATTTGCTTCTAGCACAAAATAGCCATTATGCTAAGGTGGCCTATTTTGGGTTGCACATTCTGATCCCCTACGGATCAGAAACGTCTTCTGTGTACAACCTGTTTCCAGCTGTGGCTCTGTCCCTGGGTTTGGTGAGGTTTTGTGGGTTCCTTTGAGGGCAAGGAGGGATAATCTGTTCTGTGGCTCTCGCCCACCTCCTGGTGGTATTCTGGCAAGCTCTGGTACTCCTTGGCGTGTACATATCACCCTGCTTTTGGCTTCTGTCCTTGCCTGGTGTTCTCTGGTGGGCAGCCAGGAGCATCCTTAGGTCACTCCCCAGCCAGGGTTTCTTCAGTCTCTCTCCAAAGGCACAAGAAGAGTRTGCATGGAAAACACCCAGAGGCACCCGTGCGTGCTCTGGCTGMCAAAGGCAACAGATGAGAAGGGATGGAGATCACCTTCCACACACTAACCACTCCATCCATCCTCCACTCCTTCTCTGTTTATTCTCTGGGCATTTGTGGGGCATTTCCTGTGTGCACTCTGCTAGCCACTGAGATACTGGAATCAGGTTAGCATGGGCGCTGCCCTTTTGGAACTTGTACTAGTAGTGAAGGGGAAAAAAAGAACTTTGTGGGCCCATCATATTGGAGGCTTTCCATCCACCCTCTTTGCCACATGGACTGTACCTTTGGACTGGTTCCCCAAAATTAGTATCATGCAGCAAAACTCGTGGATTGGAAATCTAATTCCTTCCTGCTGCCACTCTTGGGTGCCTGGGACTCCTACTTTCTGATGCTTCTACAACTCGGGGCTATTGGGGAGGCTGCTGGTGGAGTCCACATGAGGAGATCATCCTAAGGCCATGTACACGGAAGGTATACAGAAGCCACAGAAACCAGTGGCCAACYTGCCCTGCCCTTAATGTCAGGATTTGAATGAGCTTGAAAAAACTGTTTTCTCAGCTCTGCTTCCTCCTGAGATAAGCCTCKTTATATTGCCGCTGTGTTTTGAGACAGGAAATGTAGTCACCATCACGCTCTGCTAACTTCTGGACCTTGGTTGTTTTTAAAGCTTACAGCCTTTAATTTAATAGCCAATTACCCACGGTGCCACAGCCTGTGTTCTGCAGCATGTGTTTGGCCAACAGGGATGCCGATGCTTACCACCACCCGCCTCCAGGGGCATCTGGGCAGAGACAGCATGAATGTTCCCTTCACAGGCACTTTCTCCGGGCTTC